TTAGATATGCACGTTCAGTGACCATGAACAAAGCATTATGCTCACTGTACCTTGATGCCTCAGTTCAATGCTTTGTTCGTGGTCACTGCACCTGCGTATGGAAAGTTGTGAATATTTGCAACTCAACCCGTATCTGTAGAAACATAAAACATTTTCTACAGGACTGTAGTAATTAATTGAAATATATTTTTGGCATTATTTCCAGGCTGCATTACATTTCCCAAAGTATTATGAACCCATTAGTGCAGGTGACGCTACATATAATGATAGTCACAAGCTATGGCGCAATATAGGCCCACACCTGAAACRTGCCCTGAATACTGTCTACTTGAGGGAGGTTTCCACTGAGCAATGGGAGAACATTTTAGCAATGGAGTCTACTGTAGATCCAGTCACAGGATCAACTAATGTTGCAAGTAAGCTTACTGAAATTTTCCCTCTTCTACTCTTAAGAAGCTCCAGTGTCGGCAAATTTTTTTTCTTATGGTGCATAATTTAGAGTGTGGATCACGCTAGTTTATCACTAGTTCTATCAAATTAATTGTACCTTTGGCATTGAGTGGTCATTCAGGGACCACAAGACTTTAAAATAGCTGACTTATGAATTTCTCCTCAGTAGTCACACACAAAGGAATCAAGACGAGACACCGTACATAAACTCAATCATTCGTGAAAAGAAAAGTTTTTCATGATTGACTGAGCTTTACACACAGTGCCTCTTCTTGATTCTTTTGTGTTTGACAATTGGAACAAAATTCGCAAATCAGTTATTCTTCATTATTTCTTTGTTTAGTAACAAGTTTGCATTGTTACATTATTAATATTTTCTTGCTTCTAACTTATATTATTTTGTTAGGTATTCCTCAGCGATCTCATATAGAGCTTCCATTCTACTCCAAGTATCTCCTTCTTGCATCTTACATGGCATCCTACAATCCAGCCAGGACAGACAAGAGATTTTTTTCCAAGCAAGCACTAAAGATGACTAATAGAGGGAAAGCTGCAGCAAAGACAAAGAAAGGCAAAATGACCAGCCAGCTTTCAGGTATAATATTTAATTCACCTTTTTCATATGGAAGTGAATATATTTTGTAATTTCAAGTTTCATGCATCAATTATAATTTCTTTTGCTTAGGATTCCTGTTGTGTGATTCACAACACAGGAATCACAGTCACCAGAAAAAAAATTCAATGAGTGATACTTGGAGTAGGCTCAGTCTCCAGCCGTTGGGATTTCGTGCGCCCGCGATACTCTCTCGAGTATCGCGGGCGCACGAAATCCCGACGGCTGGAGACTGAGCCTATACTTGGAGTAACTTTAAGCTAGATTAATGATGGCATCAAATTGTCTTTTTTCAGGACCAAAGGCATTTCCATTGGACAGATTAATGGCTATATTCTACACTATCGTAGAAGACAAAGTAGCTCCGTCTGCAAGCATCATGTCACAAATTTCGTCACTTGTCTCTCTAAACCTTCTTTCACAAGTGTCTGCAGATGACCAGATTGACTCTGCAAAATATAAATGTTTAGTTAGTTTTGACTTTATCAAGGGGATTGCAAAGCAACTGGAGTTTGACATTTTGCAATATCTGTTCGATTTTGTTTGAGTAAAATCTGTCAATAAATATCATTCATWAATATCTATTTATTCATTGCCACCTTGGGATTTAAAAACATTGTGTATGATTGACACTGAAAGCATTTTTGCTTAAAAATTATGTGGGTGCTTGCTTTCTTGCAATTGGTTGAGATTTTTGCAAGGCAGTGTACAAATCACTTGCCGAAGCTAGAAAAAGAAATATTTACAGGTTTATTGTTTGCAAATACTTACTAAAAATTATTGGTGATGCTAAATGAATAAATAAAAAATAAATTTGATCGTTTGAATTTTCTTACCTAGCGCCATTTGATCTAGTCGTATAGATTGTGAYAGGGTGCAYGAGTAACTGCTTTAAGAGCGTAATTTCAATAGTTAAATGGGCTTCCTGTTTCTTGGGATCTTCACTTGGGAATCCAAGCACATGCTACAATCGTTGATGTAAATACTTCTCGTATACTCCTTTATAGTTGCCAAAATACCTTGGACCATAGAGTACTTGTCTCCAGCCTAACATTTTTCTCCTTTATTTTTTCGCAGTTTTCCCCCTTAGCCCCCTTTCATCAATGTTGCATTTAGGGGCCCATTTAGGGGGACAGGGGAGATGCAAAATGTGGAAATTTGCTGGAAGTGTCCAAGGATTTTGTCAACGAATAGCCTGTAGTCTCCGTCGCATCCGTTTCCGGTGTCAAAACGCGAAGCGTATTAAATCTCCCCCAGGATTACGCTTCGCGTTTTGACATCGGCTAAACGGATGCGAAGGAGACTAGGTACGTAGTACGTGTTTCTCTTAATTGCTGAAATACACCTGATTTTGACCAACTTTCTCGAGTGCAATGGCTCTACTGTTGAGTGTCGACGTTCTTCTCAAAGTTCTTTGTTTACTGACATTTTTGGTGATTATTTTATTTGTCTGTGCCGTCATTTACATTTACCACAAGCATTCTCAATATCGTCACATCCCAGGGCCGAAGAGAGACAGTTTCTTTCTGGGAAACGTTCCTACTCTGAATGAGGAAATAAATGTGCGCCAACGATGCATTCAAGATGTTTGGTTTGACTGGCATTTAGAATTTGGAGCAGTTTTCGTGTTTTGGGTATATTTTACTCCAGTCGCCATGTTTTTAGACCCCGAGGATGTCAAGAAAGTTCTGATAACTTTAAACTTGCCTAAAGCGGGTCGTGTTTACAACAGGCTCGCTTATGTMTATGGACAGCGTATGGCAGGGAATGGGATTTTAACCGAGTTAAACCACGAAATCTGGAAGAAGAAGAGAAAAAGACTTGATAAAGCCTTTCACAGATCTTATCTGATGAATTTAATGGAGTCGTTCAATAAAATTTGTGATATCTTTTTGGATAAGATTGGAAAGATGGCAGATGGCAAAACTGAAGTTGAGATGTCGGGTGAATTTGGAAGAGTTACGTTAGATGTTATTGGAAAGGTAAATAACGATGATATTGATTAAAGATATTATTATTGTATTATTTTTATACATTGTGCACTGTTCAGTTGGGGGTGTAACCCTACAGTATCTAGGCACTGTAATTCGAGCTGCAAAATCGTCCAACTTGTCTCGCAACATAGCCTCCTTTGCAGACGTTATTAGTATCGGTCATAAATTCCCTAGTGCAACATTGCTGCAAAACGAGGGGTTTGTTGCAGACTTAGCAAATCCCTATTTATGATTGGCAAATGCAGTCAGCTGATTGCTATGCAATGTCATTTTGCTGTGAGACAAGTTGGCTTGTTGTGGTTACAGTATAACTTGCAACATCGATGGATTTTGTTGCAAAAAGTAGAATGAACCTCTACTTTCTGCAGCAAAGTTTTTTAACCTGCATCAAATTATTTTGCTGTGAGACAAATCGGTTTGTCAGTAGTGGTACGTGCAGCATTGTTTTCCAGCTTGTTTTGCAGCAAATGTTGCGAGACAATTTGGACATTTTTGCTTCTCGTATTACTGTACCTTAAGCAATATTATATGACAAATGTGAATTATAACTATAGCAACTTTTCAATTTAAGGTTGGATTTGGAATAGACACTAAAGCAGTTGAAAGTGCAACAAGTCCATTCCCAGTTGCTGTCACAGGTGTTCTAGAAGGAGTTGAAAGCTCATTCCGAAACCCATTTTGGATGTTTAAATTCTGGAACTGGCCCTATCAAAATGAAGTTATAAAAACAGTTCAATATTTACGGCAGTTTGCTTTTAGCGTAATTGATAAAAGAATCGCTGAAGGAAATGGTGACCGCAAAGATATCTTGGCTCATCTTGTTTCACTCAAAGAATCTAGTGAAAATGAAGATTACCAGATGGAGAACATGGTGGATGACTTTGGGACTTTCTTCTTGGCAGGACAAGAAACCACTTCCAATCAGCTAGCATTTACTTTGTTTGAAGTTCTGGAACATCCAGACATCAAAAACAGGCAAAAATTTATATTATTAAAAATTGCATTGTAAGATACCGTGTATATTGTATCTGCTAGAGTATGTCACTAAGAGATACTCAGATGCAAGATCCCTCTACCTGTCTTGCATTTTGCAGGCGAAAAGTAAACTTTGTTCCCAAGCCACTCATCGGGATCCCTCCATTTTGGATCAGACAGACCCCAAAGGAAGGATGAGGGCCTAGGGATGAGGTTGACAAATAGAATAATAAGATGAGATTCTTATCATTTATATTCCATTTCCTATATAAATCTCAAATTAGTTGCAATCATATAAAGGTTTTATATATTGATTTTGTTTGTTTTGTTTCAGAATCGTTGAAGAGATACAAGACGTTTTGGGAGAAAAGCAGTTTGTTGCATATGATGATCTCGGAAAGCTGGAATATCTTGGAATGACGTTGAAGGAAAGTCTACGAATGCATCCCCCAATAGGTGGCACACAGCGCATTCTTTATCATCAAGAGATGATTGGGGGTTATAATGTACCAGCAAATACTCCAGTAAATGTATCATACCACATTACACAAAACAGCCCTCATTACTGGAAAGACCCTGAAGTATTTGACCCCACTAGATTTGAATTGAAGAATAAAATAGGGCGTTCAAGTACCCAATACACACCTTTTTCCTCTGGGCCACGCACCTGCATTGGGAAGACGTTGGCAGAATTTGAAGCAAGAGTGATAATGGCAAGATTGTTCCAGGAATTTGAATTGGAACTTGTTCCTGGTCAGAAGTTGGCCATCACTCAGAAAACAACAATTAGACCCAAGAATGGTGTGAAGTGTTTTATAAGAAGAAGAAAATAGATTGGTTTTGTCTGATAGAATTAAATTTTTGGAATTAAAAGTAATTATTATTGATCATTACATTGCCTCTGTTTTTAGTAGTCTTTTTTTCTTTTTCTTTTTTCTTTTTGAACTTTTGCATCTTAAGCTTCTGATTCTCACACAAGTGCAATTGACAAAATCAATAAATATATATATATTTTTGATTTTGCATTGTATTATTTTTCTGCAACGGACCACCATACAATGACTTTTGCCTTTAAAATTGTAATAATTGTAATTGAATTACCGAATATATGACGCTTAAGAATTTTTGCCAGTTTTCCTGTCATTCAGATCTCATTTCGCTTCTCCCTTTCTATTTTAAATGTCCCATGGCTGTCCCATGATCCTTCAATGTCAACAATATTGAGGAAGRCTGGTTACTAGTCTATCGCATTTTGCAAGATGGAGTGCTCTTTATCCTTCGCATTGCAAGTCGTTGGAGGTTTCGTCCTAGCCTACAATGCATTGAATTTATTATGTAGGGCAATGAMTGGAGTTAGAGCTTTTATTCTTCCACGATTGGGGTTTAAAAAGAATCTTCGAGAGTTTGGAAGTTGGGCAGGTACATTGTAGAACGAAACCCATAGTGACAGGAATATCACATCTTAAACTTTTAGAATTGCTTCAAATTTCTGATTTAAGTTTATTATTGCATAGAAATACAAAGCAACTGAGAGATTAACTGTTGTTAAAGATGAATTATGTCTTGTTGGGCCCTCTTTCAGACTTGATTGATTGTCCAAAGTGTACATCTCGGTTGTCCAAAGTACAACACGAAAAACGTGCAGCATAAATTAGGGAAATGTACTAATTATGCTAATTACTTTGTTTCTTGCGAGCTCTTTCAAAAATTTTGCTGGTGTGCACTATAGAAACGTGGTATTTAACTGTTCAAAATACTATGGAACACTGCCAATGAAATACTTTGCATTTTGCAATGTTTATTTTAGATTGTAACTTAATTCAAAAACTGTTTTTGGATAAATGAGTGTGTGCATTCTAACTTAGGTTACTCTGAATGACTTTAATGGCTCTGTAAACTTTTCATTGATTTTTCTTTCCTTATTTCAAGTTGTCACTGGATGTACAGATGGTATTGGGAAATCATTTGCTTTTCAGGTTGGTGTCAGTCATCTAATAAACAATTATTATTATTAATATTTACATCAATTTCAAAGTTTTATTTATGAACAATACTCCAGTTTCGAATTCATAGCGCAAAACCGCTGCTTTATTTGACAACAGATTCCCTTGCGCAAAGACCTTACAAACACAAAAGAGAGCACAAGAAAATGTCGTTATTACAATAGACTCGAAAATTTGAATTTTCCCTGAGTTGAGACTAACCCTGTATTCCCATGAGACTTAAGGTATGAGCCTTCTGGGAATACAGGGTTAGCCTCAACTCGGGGAAAATGTAAATTGTCAGCACTGCCACTATTGTACAAGCAACATTTTCTCGTGCTTTCTTTTGTGTTTGGTAAGTTCTTTGCGTAAGAGAATCTGCTGTCAAATAAAACAGCGGTTGTTCGCTTTGAATTCGAAACTGGAGTATTTCTTAAAATTTCATCATCATTTTATTTTATTATTGCAGCTTGCCAAGGAAGGCATCAATTTGGTTCTTATCAGCAGAACAAAAGAAAAGTTAATCAGTCTTGAAACTGAGATCCGTACGTATTTTACATTTTGAGGCTCATTCAAACTAGGAAATAATGAATTTTGCTGTGCGTTAGTCATTTGACTCTGGATATGCAATTGTAGCATTMAAAATCATGATTGTTCACCATTTCAGAGTCAGTTTATAAAGTCAAAACCAAAATAGTTGAGATGGATTTCAGTAATGGAGCTGACAAATATGAAGGAATGGAGACAAACTTTGATGGTCTTGACATTGGAATACTCAGTAAGATATCAGTAACTATTATTAGCATTATAGATATTTTTGATTATCATTTATTATTGTTATGAGAACTGTTTTGTTAAAGGAGAGTGCAATTTTCTTTTTTCTTTATTTTCAGTCAACAATGTAGGRGTTTCACATTATCCAGAATTCTTTACAAATTATACAAGAGAGGTAATTTTAAGATTAAATATAGATAAAGTTCTTTCTGTTAACATTATACCATGAAATGCGGTTATTGATTGTACCTAAATAGTACTCAAAAACATGATGTCATCTTTGTTTCAGACTTGCTGGAAAATGATCAACGTTAATGACTTATCGTTGGTTATGGTAGGTTTTTTTGATACTTTTTATACATAGTGAACTTTTTTCATCCGTCATTTGTCATTGACTTTCATCAATAAACTTATTATTATAATTAGCTAAATTCATTATAATTAAGTTCATCAATTAACATTTGGTGATAAACTTTTCTCWGAAAATTGACATATTTAATCATCCTTGCAAAAATTACCATTATCGTAATTACTCAAATAAGCACCTCCCCCAATTAAGCACCTTCCCCAAATAAGCGCCCCCTTTGATCCAAAATAATTAATAAGCGCTTCCCCCGAATAAGCGCCCCTGTATAGGGGGGCGCTTATTCAAGGTTTTAGATAAGAAAACAGTATAAGTATCAAGAAAACAGTGGGAATTTATTTTCAATAAATACAATATTTTTAAGTTCAAAGTGGAGCTCATAGACTCGGATCACGAAGCGGACACTGACATTGAAATTGATTAAACATGCACGTACATGTACATTTATTAAATGTTTGGATAGCTTAATGACGCTTCTCTTTATAGACTGTAGTTTATTGTACCACTGTTGCTGTTCTATACTAAAAAGTGTTATTTTGTTTTGCCAACAGATGACACACATGATTCTTCCTGGRATGGTTTCAAGGTTTGCTTTTTTATTCATCAATTTTTCTAATCAGAAATAAAGCTATCTTATGCTTATATTTCTCATGCTTATATTTCTCATATTATTACAGGGGGAAGGGTGTGATCATGAATGTGTCATCTAGAGCAGGCGTTGAACCACTACCTTTGCTGTCAATGTACTCCTCATCCAAGGTAAATTGAAACATTATTAGTTTCTTTCAGGAGAAAAATTAAAGAGATTAAAATTGGCTTTAATGCAAACACTAAATGCATTAAATAGTACTAAGAAATAGTTGTAAACAGTGTAGATTAGACGATATAGAAAATAAGGGAATTAGAATCATTAAGTTTCATTTTATTACGTTTTTTCGACAACAAAATCTCTTACGCAAAGACCTTACCAAACACAAAAGAAACCACGAGAAAATGGTGTAAGTATAATAGCTTAGGTCTTATGGGAATACAGGGTTAGTCTCAACTTGGGGAAAATGCAAATTTTCAAGGCTATTTTAATAACATTTTCTCATGCTTTCTTTTGTGTTCGGTAAGTTCTTTGCATAAGAGAACTGTTGTCAAATAAAAGAGCAGTTCTTCGCTTGAATTTGAAAATGGAATATTCTACAGCACTGTATAGTTAGTCCACTATTTGATGCATTAGTTTTTTCAGACTAAAATAACTGCTATTGTTGTATTGAATTAACCCATTCCTTCAACTCTTTTACATTGCCCTGATTTTGGTATTGTTACAGGCCTTTGTAGATTTCTTTAGTGAGTGTCTGTCAGTGGAATATGCTCCCAAAGGAATCATAGTACAGGTGATCATAATTGTAATAAACTTTGATGAATATGGTGTTGTTACTGCGGCCATTGTGCCTTACTATGAACAKCTTGATTACCAATGATTTTTTAYTAGTTTCTGATATCTTTTTGACAYRCTACAGCGATTTAAGCCARTAAGCTTGATAACTGTATTCTTTGATATCRTKTGTGACCAAGGATGACACAAAMGTTGACACAAATAATGAGTGAAGTTCAATGCTTTGTAATGTCAGGAGTACATATTGTTGCCTTTCATGTTGTCTTTTGTCATATATTATTATAGGAGTATAAAGGCCCATCCATTTACACTTGCAATTTTTGCTTGCAATTTTTGCAGCGCGATGGTCGCGCGACAATCGCCTTATTTTCGAACATGCTTGAAATTTAGCTGCAACTCGTGGTGATTTTTATCGCCGCGACAATCGCTGGGCTGTTTACACGTACGATTTGAGGTGCAAGAGAACAAAGTGGCGATTGTCGCACGGCAATCGCGCTGCAAAAATTGCAAGTGTAAATGGGCCTTAAGGCTATCATGCTTATTAGTTAGACAAGTTACTTCAGGTGCAAACCATATATAGCATTGCACTGTAACTTTGTTGTATTGTTAGACAAATACAATCTCTGTCATCATATTTCAAAAATTTTGTTGTGTCATGTTATTCAGATTAGTCAAAACTTGGATGAAAAAGAAAGTTGTTTTTGTTTGTTTCCATAGTCTGTGATGCCCCTGTATGTTGCTACTAAAATGAGCAGAATTAGAAAGGCTAGTCTATTTGTACCTGGACCTGACGACTACGCTCAACAAGCATTGGGTACCATAGGTGTTGAGATGAGAACTAATGGGTGTTTGAGTCACTCTTTACAGGTAAGAGTAGCAAAGGATAGGGGCCAGCTTGATTATCTTGAGGCCGCCTTTGTATTCATACTAATTACCTATAGTAAATGTTCAAGTAATGCCCATTTCACATGTCAATCTTTTGTCGCATCTAATCTAATTGCTTACATGCAGTTTTCGAGAAGTTTGCAGTCTACATCGATTGATATTTACTGATTATAGTAAGTTTGTCCAACTGAACAAATGTCAATAAATTTAGATCCTCATACACTCAACTACAACACAACTACAACAATTATTTTTTAGATTAGACTGGACAAAAGATCAACGTTTGAAATGGGCCTAAGATTTTATGTATATGATCATTCTAKCCAATTTTATWGARGAAAACATGAGTACAAAGAGASAAAAAACCTCAAAGMAAGGCAGAGAAGCACCTTTACASCTGTTAYTCAAAGTTGTATTCATTTTATAATCTTGATGTAGTAAYATACACATGAGTTTAAGAATGCATGGAGACATTGCCCTACTTTAGTATTATCAAATTGCTCTCTAAAGTTAGTTTGTTGGGCCATTTTTTTAGGAATTTGCTGTTGGTTTGTTTCCATCTTGGATAAGGACAAATATTACTTGGAATTTGATGATGGCACGTAGAAGAGCTGCGCTGAAGAAACTGAGCATGAAAGGGGATGACAAAGCTGGGCACAAGGATTGAAGACTTTTTTTCCAATGACAGGGATGCCAACTCTCCCGGATAATCCGGGAGTCTCAAGATTTTCGACCGTTTCTCCCGGTCTCAAGATTTTACCGCTAAATCTCCCGGATAATGACGATTCATATATCAGTATTTTGAAATATCTCTTTAATTTCATCTATTAGAACTTAAATTAACTTGCATATCTGTGTCATTTTAGTTCTGAAAAAAAATACAAAAATCCCAGTTTTCTGATAACAATAACACTGCACGCCATCCGCGGCCATTTTCAATTGCACAATACAATCTATAATATGATTGGTTAAGATACATCCAATCAAATCACTAGTTATAACAAAATTTGATAAATGCGATGACGTCATCGATAATGTTATGAAACGTCATTTCCGGTATGACGTCATCATTTTCGTATCTCAAGATTTGAAAAGCTCGGGGGTTGGCATCCCTGCAATGACAAAATAAAATGCAATATTATGAGTGATCTATAAGTTCATATCTAAAATATTACAAGGGCATACAGAGTTATGCAGKTTATCTTCATTTGATATCTCACAAGAAAGTAAAAATTGAACATGAGAATATACAATTTGTATCTCCAAAGAACCTTTTCTGAAATAGTATTTACACATTTTTTTTTAGATTTGGTATGTGAACATCTTGTGTTCATGCAGCMAAATATAATGTTGTTTGTACTGAAGCTAGACCACCAGTGCACCATGTTGTATTTCAAAAAAGCTCTAAGCCCATTTTTATGTTCTGTTTATTATATAAACTCTGATTTATGTCTTCAAGACAGCAAGAAATAGGACAGTTTACATGGTGATCCATGATAATGTTATTTACAAATTTGACATGACATGTTATTCTCACATGGAAAAGATATCATTTTTTTTATTTGAAAGATTTCCTAGTATTTCAATGAAATTTCTATTTTTTTGATTCTCAGTCTCTGATCGATAGGCTTAGATTTCTTTTGTGAGACAAACTTCTTTTTTGTGACAAACTTGGATGTTTTGAGATAAAAATGATTAGGATGTTGATGAAAAATAAAATACTTGCTGATTTTTTTTTAAAATTGGTAGATTTATTTGTGTAATTTCACTATTTCTTGATTTTATGATTACTTTGTAGCCATTAATTGGATAGCTGCCTGTGGCCTYCCTCACAGGCAGCCCAATATTTTTCTTTGGGGTTTTCCTGTGCATTTATATTATCAGACAGGACCATACAAAGAGTCATGGCAGAAGCCAAGTACATGTATAAATCACCAGTATACAATGTATACATTATTAGTTTAGTTTTCCATTATTTGAATGGTGTTCAAAGCTGTGATGCTGTTGGTTTGATAGGTCCATCTTCCCATAATATGCGTCCRTCACAAGCACAATATTTCTTAGTATTTTGAAACAGGCCAGCTGATCTTGCTATAATTCCACATCCAACTCTGGAGAGCAAAATATAACTTAACATTTGACCCTTTTTTCACATTTTTGGGGGCTTTGTGGTTGGTCAGTGCTGCAGGAATGTCAGCTAGTATTTTCCCACACTTGCACCCTTTAACAAACGTGAGCCCCACAAACTAATTTTAAAATTTGTGCGACCTCGGACTCACTCTGCTCCCAATGAGAAATGCCTGCATGCGAGCTATGTGTAAGTTCTTCAAACCTTGCTCCTGAATTTCCAGTCTTTTTGGAAAGTGGATGGCCACCTTTTCCCAGATCATCTTCACCTTCATGAATCACGACAGCACGACCAATGATGTCCCAGACCTGAATAAAATCAAATAATAAAAACTATCTATAACTGCATTTTCACTGCCTACATTTCACCATAGTAAAGTGATAATGAAGTGCAGTTTCTAAGGACTTCATTGCTTACCAAACATACAGCTGAGATTAATATCCTCATTTGAAKGCAACTTTACTCTTTGGGATTCCTGTGTTAAGTCAAAAAAAGCTGCTAGAAGGGGAGGGGGTTAGGAAGGAGGGAACCAAATCTCTTGACACCAGTTCTTCTCAGTCAAGATCATTAACACAGGAAGACCAAAAAGTCAGTTTCCCTTATAGCAGGYCTGTAAGGAGGCTACTGTGATTTACTCTMACCTTTATTTTACTATCTTCTATTCGAAAGGTTGCTCTTCCATCAGAATTGGCAATGACATTCCCTAAATCTCCAATATGCTAGTATAGAAA